TAATCATGGTCCTGGTTGTTATAATCATGTTCGTGGTTGTTATAATCATTGTCCTGGTTGTTATACTCATTGTCGTGGTTATTAGGTACTGTAAGTATCTAGCATACTATAGGAAGGAATAGAATAAAGGTTAGAATAATTAGTTAAAGAAATATTCGCCATAAGGAGAGGTTAAAATCCTAAATATAATTATTATGAATCACCGATGATCATTCAGTGATAAATTATATTATGAAGAGAAGTGACCTTGATTCTGGTTAGATTAGTCACCATCTGCTTAAGTCATCACCTGTGTTAAGTTATCATAGTCATCATCTACGTTAGTCAGTTTTAGGCCCATCTCACATGACTGACCGACCATCGATGTTCTTTCCGCGAGAGGGTGTTAGTTTTCAATGCGTCTTATTATTTACGCTGGTGGACGTAAGACCAGCTATCCTCACTGACGCAGCTATTGTCAATTTGGTGTTATTCTTGTTTATAAATGCCTTCTAATCTGTCTCAAGTCTATCTGTCCTGTCTATTGCCATCCCAACTGTCTGTTCGAATGCGTGGTGTTTGAATGTAAGCCCGTATGTACTCTTTGTGTCATCACATCTGTCTGTCTTATCCGTTGTTGGCGCGTGTCTGCCTGTTTGTCTAATGTGAACCAGTCAGTCAGCTGTCTGTCTGTCATGTTAGTTGCCATATTGTCTGTTTGTGCATGTATAAATCTGTCTATTTTTGTCAACCTCCTGTCTGTTTCACTGTCTATATTCACCCTGTGTCTATTGTAGTCATCTTCTCCATGCATTCCTGTTATTATCTTTTTATCTCTTCTCCTTTTCCATGTACAGTCAACCACAGGAATAAGTATACACTGTAGCTGTAAGGTCGTCTGGTAACGTTGAAACTGCGCATCCAGACGCATGATGAAACTCAGCTCCCCCCCACCTGTTATCTCAAACTATTTTCTGTTTCCCCTTCTTTATTCTTCTATTTACTCATCTTCCTTCCTTTACTAATCCAAACAACATCTAAAAAAAGAAGGCTCAGAGAAAAAGTGAGGGGAGGAGAAGGGAGTCATACGATAACTGCAATCGTCCAGCTGGCTGACAAAGTACAGCGACATCTTTTGCCAGCGTAAATAAAATGGTTAATTAATGCCTTCCAAAAGAAACCATCGACACTGGACAGGTTTGTTCCACTCTACGATATTTTTGCGATTTTTCCACCAAGTTTTATAAAAAACGATTGTGCCGTTTCGGCTGCCCAGAACAGACAGACACACGCCTAGTCCTATAGTATATTAGATAAGTTTATTTCTCTAGAAACAGGGCCGCCATTTGCAATGAATACACCAGTTTCAGACGACGTTCTCCAACAAATTCACCGCTGCAGCCGCAGGTAGTAGAAACGATGGCCTCTTCAGATCACAAATGCCACATTCAGGTAAGTTTTAAGGGTGTTTTTTTTAATGGTCTAAGTCATGGACATTTGGTAAGCGACGAAATGTGCCGTGGACATAAGAAACTCCCATGTTCACACCAGCTCAGCTGTCATGTATTCTTATCTGGTAGACTTTCCCTTTTTTCCAGTGCATTTATAGAGTATATCAGTACTAGATGGAGATACGAGTCAATTTAGAAGTAATGACATCGTCTGGACTTTGTTTTGTGAATGCATTGGGATATATCACCATTTATATTAACTAATGAGTAAAATTTTACTTTAACTACCATAAGTATTTGGATGTTTTGATTCGAGATACTGTAGGTTATATTGGGTAAATTTTAAGTGTTAGTCATCCCTTTACTTAGACATGAAGACTATGTTTTTTCTGATGGTTTACGATGTGTTATAAACGATTTTGACCTTCATTTCTATCGGAAATGACTAGTTTTGAGTAACCCCCCCCTCCCCTCCCCCTCCCTTATCGGTGTATGTTAAGCTAATCTTTTAACTTATAATATAACTCATCATACCCTAACCTAACTGTCATGGTTTTGGGTAGATCGGTGGTAGTAGGAGTCAGAGTATATTATATAAAGATAATAATATGTCATTTTTCTTATTCCTTACCGTTGAGTTCGATATCTTCACACTGATTACTTACAAGAGATTATGGCGTATCTACGTAGAAGTTCACTCCACCACTCGACTTTCCATGATTTATACTTGATAAATGATGATTTAATGAATTCCATTAATTTTCAACATCATCTAAGTTATTGGTTATAATTTGTCATCACCAATCAGTCATTACCTTGAGTAATAATAAGATAGGATCACAGATACGGGCAGATAATTGCACTTACATTTATTTGTCAAGCTTCCATACAATGATTTAAACTTTGCATGGATATATGAATCACCCACTTTCACGTTGTAATAAAATTAATCTTCTAAAAGAGAATTTTCAACTTGGGGACACATGTGATTACTCTACTGTGGGTATGACTTAACAGAGCCTTAATTCTTCAAGTGATACATTTACTGCCAGTCTGGATTGCTTTTGTTGCAACCAGGCTTCATCACAAGAACTTCTTTCCACGGGCCATAACAACAAAAAGTACTCTTGGGTTACCACACATAGTCTCCCGTCACTGACAGTCACTGTAGACGGTTGTCGCGGCAAGGAGAACTGGTAAGCGTGACTTGAATTAACCATTTAGGTGCAACCGACCAGCCTGGATTGCTTTTGTCGCAACCAGGCTTCCACACTTGATATTTCCACGGGGATAACAAACCTAGGTTAACACGCTTAGTCTCGTGTCGATCACGGTCACTGTAGACGGGTGTCGTGCAGGAGAGCTCGAAGCATGAATTGATTAACCATTTACTGTAGGTTTGATAGGCCAGCCTGGATTGCTTTTGTCGCAACCAGGCATCCACACGTGATATTTCCACGGGGCTAACAACCTAGGTTAACACGCTTAGTCTCGTGTCGACGACGGTCCACAGGACGGAGTGGCGGTGGAGGACTCTGTGTGGTGTGGTGTCCCGCTCCCTTTCAGGAAGGAGAGAGTCAAGACGACTTCTTAACTAAGCCATGGCCGTCGGGATACTACTTAAAATGAGGTTTTTGGGTGTGAAGCGATGAACAGTACAACACTGTTTCACTGCCCACCCCCCTAAAGGCTGGCAAACATACACTAATGGAAAATACATGTCCCAGTTATGCCTCGCCGGGTGTCTTATCTCTAGTAAAACAAACTTTGGAGTTGGTTGCGTGGGTAAGCCTAACGCAACCCATGACACTAACCTAACCTGACATATGACGTGTATTTACTTATGCGATCTAAAAATGTTCTGCTACACAAATCCCGTAGAGATAATGTATCTTATTGCTTAACGAACTTAATCCCATAGTCAAAATCTTAAGGCTCCCCAGATGACCAAAACCAAACTAATACCAATATTGTTTGGAATGTTTATACTATGAAATTTGTAGCAGGGGCAGCTAATATCCATTGAATTAGTTAATGTGCTTAGTAGTAATATTTCATATTCAACATGGCATTACTGTGTTGCACAGTAAAGCACAATTAATTAACTCATAATATTTATTTACAGAGCCGATCAGCCGAGAAGGTTGGACAACTACTTTCAGGGCTCATGAAGGCAGATGACAGAAATTACCAAAAGTAGATGTCTTTATGATTCGAGACTATTATCAAGAACTCCGCCATCCAGCTATGAAGCACGTTAAATAAAATTTGTCATTTGATCATCTCAAGCCCATCCCCTGGCCATGGTCGTCCCTAGTGACATGAAATAGAGAACAGTGATGAAAACTTCCATGTTGGAGTTATCGGTCTTCTGCATCAGTTTGGCACCCAGCAAGTAAATACACACGATGATACTTGAGCAGTAGTTTATTTTAACCTAAAATTAAGGTATGCCTGTGTATATCAACATTGTATATGGCCATAAATCCTGTATTTCTGCTGATAACAACACACACCACAGCTGGCTTCCTCGAGGTTCCCGCTCGGCGGCTCGAACAAACCAGTGACATCACAACCAGTCACAGAGCCTTTCGCAGTCACGTGATTTTTTAGCTACTTTAACCTTTATTTTTTGCACTTTTTGCCCAATTTATTTAAGAATATCGTTACCATAGTAAATTTAAGCGTCTTCTAAACCCATTGACCTGCCATCTTACGAAAAATTTCTAACCGACAACTCGTTTATTCAATCAATCAATAAAGGCTAGTGACGGGGGAAGGAGGTTCAGTGGAAGTTTAAAGGGGATGATGGAAGGGAATTTTAGTGAGAGAAAAAAGGTGCCGTGGCTTAACCCAGCTTGCGTGTGGGCAATGAGGCAGTGCCGTGATTGGTAAAGGGAGCTACACCACGCTCGGACTCAGCGGCAGGGGGCGGTGACCAGGAGATAAGTGGCTCCAGGCATCGGTCAAGTCGGTCAACGGACTGTATCACTGTTTGGAAGACCGTCATCGCCGCGGGTGCAGCGCGAACCCAAAAAGCGAACAGGGGGGCGCGCAAAACCAAAAGAAAACTGCACGTAAAGGTGGGTTAGTTGTGGGGTTGTTTTGGGGAAAGGTGAAGGTAAAGTCTTTGAGCTTTGTCAAAGATGAACGGAGCGAGATGAAGGAAGATTTTTGAGTCTTTGATCTTAAAATGTCGAAGTACTCATAGCATGGAAGGATGAGCTTATCATTGGAGAGGCTTTTAGATGAGAGTAGAAGAAAGATTTTGAGCTTTTTTGTCAAATTTGGAGTGGAGGTTAAGAGGAGAGTTAGGATTTTATTTTGTATTATTTATTTATTTATTTATTTGTTTTTTGAGTTGTTGGGTTGGGTTGTTTGTCTATTTGGAGGGGATTTTTGGGTTTGGTCAGCTGGAACTCTCGCGTAGGTTTGCTTTTAGTTCATAAAATTTCCTTTCATCTATTATTTAATTCTTCCGTTTCCATTCATGTACCCAAATCTATTACGGGCTGTAGAACGTGGTCCAGATCCGCGTAACAATAGTAATTAGTTTTTATTCCCTGACAGTGTGAGATAAAAAATGTTTACAATTATGAGACCAGCGGTGAGAGTGTGGGGGGTGGCATCAAGCACTCCTCCACCATCTACGCGGAGGTCTTTCTACTTGGCGAGGACATTAGGCTCGTATAACAGTATCCCGTCCTTCCCGCCCACTTCTACATCATTATCAAGGTAAGGAGACTTAAGGGTACAGCACAACCTTCAGGTGAAGAGTCTTTCCATGTGTATTAGGTTTATGGTGAGTTTTGAAAATATAACGAAACACAACCATCATATACACATAAATCATATACTACCGAAGGTAAAATATATCGAACTTTATCCTTGTGATGCTGTTCATATTTTGATTATATTATTATATTATGGTGCATAATCTTGTTTAGTGTTTACTATGTTCAGGGGACATGCCTTCATGTTGGACAACGCGAGTGGAAGTGTCAAGTGCAACGTCGATGAAAAAGTTGAATATGAATGATAAAATCATTTAATAAGAAGCGAGTCAATGAATTACATGTACAGAGTTGCGTTGTGTACAGTGTGTATGTGTGTGTCTGTGTGTGTGTGTGATTCTCTTCCAGCCAGCCTGTGCATCTCAAGCCTTTGGCAGACTCTGTGCCCGTGTCTTCAGTTGTAGGAAGCTGAAATTATGCGCGTATATCGAGCAGTGGTCCTCCCCACTCTGTTATATGGCAGCGAACATGGGTCTCATACAGGAGGTACCTCAAGGCACTGAAAACTCTTACCAACGTAGTCTACGTTCTATTCACCAGGTTTGCTGGTAAGACAAGAGTACCAACGCCAGCATTCTCGCTGACACCAACTGAAGGAGCGTCGAGACTGCCATTATCCATGAACAACTACGCTGGACTGGCCATGTTTCCCGCATGGACTACAATAAACTGCCAAAGCAACTGCTATATAGTCACCTAACGAATGGTACATGTAACGCTGATGGACAGCGGAAAAGGTATAAGGATAATCTTAAGACAAACCTGAAAAAGTACCAACTCGACCCCCTCACCTGGTAGACGATCACGCCACACCGAAACGCTTGGAAGAGCACCACAGGAGAAGCGTGTCAATAGTTTCGAGTCAACCCGACTGCATATCGAGGCACACAAGCGCTGCCGCCGCCCCTCCAGCACTAGATGTAGCCCTCCACACGTGCAACACATGTGGACGGCCCTGCCTGTCCTTTATCGACCTTTCGAGTTACCTCAGAGCTCGATTCCGAGTGACAGCCAAGTAGTTATAGTAGTGTGTGTGTGTGTGTGATTCTTTAGGTGTTTGCGTGTTTGTATGAGTGACTTTGTGTGTGGGTTTGCATTTATTTTGTCTGTGTGTGTTTGTGTATGTTCTTTGTGTATATTTTATGTGTTTATGTGTGTATTTGTTTGTGCTAACGAATTATACACAACTTACTAACATAATCAGCGTGGATGTGAGGGAGCTGAGCGAGAAGGCCAGATGGTTGGGGCCGCTAAACCTCAATTCTCGCCTGTACTTCGAGGCACACAAGGTGGGCGTAAAACACTCTAGTATGTTGAACAACATAATCACGGCACGACCTATCCACCACCAGAACATGATCGATACCCTCTTTCATCTCTGCAAGTGAGTATTTGTTGCTTTTGAATAATCGAAAAACTATTGAAATTTTTATACAGTCTATTTAACAACGTAGCATGTACAATATTGACAAAGGGCTTATTATCATGGAGCGTACAGGCCGTGTCCCCCTTAACGTCGAGATGCCTTCAGTGTGGCAGTAAGAATTACGATAAGAGCTTATTAATTAAGTGTCCTTCAGGTTATATGCATGTCTCCACTTACCTCCATGACCTTTAACCACCTTGGCCACTTAAGAGAGTCATTCACACACATAAATAGACGTACAGGACAGTTGGTTGACAGTTAATGATCATCTTACCAAAGATCAGCTTCCCCAATCACGTTAACTAACCATTAACCCATGTCGTTCAGACCTAAAGAAGCCACCAGTCATATTATAGATCTTAATGAGCAAGAGCGAACACCCCGTCAATCTTTGATGAAGATAACAGTTTCTGGCCAAACTTACGCTCCTCTCTGTCAACTATCTCCACCTGAGTTGTTCGAGATGATGAATGTACGCTTCACTTCGACGCACAAATGTGAAAAGTACTGGTACACGCTGTCATCCCGGTCAGATTACCATTACCATAATTATACATGAGAAAATCACCATCTTCACTTAATTATTCACATCACCTAAACTCACAGGAATTCCCTTACAATTCACAGCCACAGCATTCGGTTGTCTCTAATCATAGAATAGGTTATATTTTGACCTAATGGCACTAATGGCTGGAATAGTTATATCCTGTAGGAGGAGGGTAGGAAATAGATGATTGTCATTCCTAACTCAGACGGAAGCAGAGGTTTCTATCAGAACACTTGGGAACTTAAGTAGTAACAGACATCATTCACCTTGACGCTCCTTGGATCATTATTGTGTGTATAAAGTAGTATTTTTATGTTCTTACTTGAATCATTT